TAATCGAGCACGACAATGGAGTAAAATAACATTTTATCCGGTAAACGCGGAGATTTTTTTTTTTTTCAACGTTGCATTCACGTACCGCCTCCGCGCCGCCACCGTCTCCGTGGTCTCGGTACAAAGCAATTTCAAACTGCATATTATGGTCAATTAAAAAAAAAAAAAAAAAACATTACTAAAACTATTAACTATTTCTGTACGTAAACTGTACTTAAGTAGTCTATAGGTATGCGTTATTTTCGGCTNCCGTCTCCGTGGTCTCGGTACAAAGCAATTTCAAACTGCATATTATGGTCAATTAAAAAAAAAAAAAAAAACCACGATCTACTTATAAACACGAAAACAGTTATATACCGTTCGTTTTCGTCGACTTGGTTTACGGTACTGTAGCTGTAAATCGGGAGCTGTTAACTATATAATAAGACGTCGTCATTTCAAACACATCTGACCCGATTTCGAATGGTTTTTATGTACGTCGACCTAATAAAAATTGGTGTATTCAAAAAAAAAACATTACTAAAACTATTAACTATTTCTGTACGTAAACTGTACTTAAGTAGTCTATAGGTATGCGTTATTTTCGGCTATCGTGTGCGGAGGGAGACCCAAGTACAGGCATTACAATATTTACAAACCGCGGGAAGCGCCTCATTATCAAATTCAGTGATGGACGAATTGTTATTATTATTATTATTATTATTATTTTTTTAAGTTTTTCAACCTTTGTCAACGCGCATGACACATGCCGTTATTTCGACGTACATGACTGCTGGAATCCCATGATCAAATTTATTACGCCCCAAAGATACAGGGGCGTGGTCACGGGGAAGCAAGGTGGTGAAGGTGTCATATTTCCCAATGGTATTTTTTTTTTATTCACTTATTAATGCTTTATGAATTAAGCAGTTGAAATTATTTATTTTTTATTGATATTTGGTAACAATAATATTCAATATAAGACCATAATCGTAACCATCGTCCGTTAAACGTAAATTAATTATGATTGTACTTTACATTACGTTCTATTATATTTTTTAATAAAATTTATAATGTTGTTTAAAAGTTTGGGTACCAAGTAATGTACCTGCAACTACCTGAAAATACGTTTAATGATTTTATACTTATAGGTTTTCTTTGAAACGTTTTTTTTTTTTGGAACATGTACGAGGTTCTATTTACAGGTTTTTATCCCGGGTCAACCATATTTATACGCCCCTCCCCTCTCTTAATATTGGATATGTGCACACGCTTATGCTGAAGATAATTATTATAATGTAAAAAAGCATTTTCGTGGTTTCTAATCGCGATCCACTCGGATTCGTAATGCGTTCGGTGTACGGCCAATATAATGCGAGACATTTAGTTACGTGCCATTGTATTACCTATATAAGTTAAAAAAAAATACAGACGTACTTCGCACGATGGGTAGGCTACAGTTATGGGTGAGAAGTTAAGAAGGTAAAGGGGAATATTAATGCATATTTGTGTATCTAATGATAACGAAAAACGACTCTGAGCAGAATTCAATTGATAGTGTTGATTTGTGAACAATATATATGTCATATTGTGGTAATATAATTACATATGCATTATATATTTTCTTTAATGATATTTGTTTAATATTGTACCTATTTTCCTGTTCTTCACATTTATTATAAAAACAGACGAAAAAAGCTGAAAAAAAGGACAATCCTGCATATAACAGAACGTATAGTCACCCTAGTGTATGTTGCATATTTCGAAGTTTAAGCGCTATTTTGCTTTTTCCTATGTATGCTTAGCGCTGTTTCAATACCGCAGCTTCAAAATATACAATAATAATTTAATCAGCCTTGAATATCTACACGTTAATTTGTCTCTATTAGCGTCCACTGCAAGACGGCAATCATATCGATAATGGAGCCCCTATAATATTATTGCGTCACGTGCGTTAGTGCGTTATTTGTACACTAGCCGCTAGGTATTCCGGTATCACCATATTATTATTATTATTATTATTATTATTAACTTTTTTTGCCTATTTTATCACTTTTTAGTGCGTGTTTAAACGCCTATACGCATGTTTTTAAGAGCATAATATTATTGCGCTTATAACGATCCTTTTTTTTAGAATTACAAGTTATGAGCCCCGCGGGCCGAATACGCATTTGCCGAATACCGTATTATAATAACCGTACGGCGTCTGCATTGTATTAGTACTCGTCTGTACCATAGCTTTTGATTTTACCTGTACACCGATCAACAAGTATTGAAAACCGTGACGTTCGCGCCAAACACTTGTAAAACGATACAATATTATAATATAGGTTAAGTTTCGTAACACGCGACGGCCCACATAATGCAGATGTGTCTATGATATAGTCGTGTAGATAACGTTTATGTAGAAGAACGGACAGGACACCGAGTTTATTTTTCGGCAATCGATCAATGTTGATAGCGATAACATTTTTGAGATGTTATTCCCGGGGTCTTTGGTCGTTGACAACACAACATAACATAACATAACCTTAAAAAAAAATAATATGTCCTCTTATCTTCTACATCTCCCGTAGAGAATCGTTTTTAAAGAGTTGAAAAAAAAACTGCACATGTTTTTAAAATACACCTAATCAGCCGGTAAATTTGTATTCGGGCTACAGAATGGTATAATAGGTACTTGTAAAATATTAATAATAGCGATAGTATAGTATCCAAAACAAAATGGTTTACGATTCTACGTTACGTAGAATATTATGAACCACATGCTTACATAAATTACACATAAAATGTAAAAAAGAGAGCTAATTTCTTCAAAATCCATATGCCAACGACGAAAACCCGAGTTTTACCTATAATATATTATGTTCTAATTGCAGAAATGCAGAATAATAATAATAATATTATTGTTATCACGTGATATATTATGTGAAAATGAATATTATTTATTAATTTTCACAGTAGACGATAGCGTGACGGAGAATCGTTTTTACCAGCAGTGGACCGTGATATACTAACTATTTCACTTATTGTTTTTAATAACTCATACTCCGTGTAATATAAATATACAGAATGTTTCACTTAATGGTAACGCGGAATATTTCTGTCCAATGGTAATGGTCTCGGATTGAAAAAAATGGGGTTTACAAGGGGCGCCTAAAAATAGATACATTAAACATATATGTGTAAAACACGAATTTCGTAAATTAGTGTATTTTAATTTTTTGTTTTATTAATCGGTTTTAGAGTTGAATATTTATATTTTGGCCGAATATACATTCTATATTATAATAATAAGGGAACGTGGGACAGAACGGGGTCATGGGGCGAAACGGGAACATTTGAATATTTATTACACTGGTCACGCTCATTTCAAAACTGGATTTAATATAGAATCCTTGATTTTAAGATACCACGCGATAAAAATTGCATGTTCAAATCGTGTTATCAATAAGAAATCAAAATCCTCATGTACTGCAATTTGATACTTTTTTGACACACGGTCCAACATTGTTTAAAGGCCTGCAAATCTTATGATATATGATAAGTACGAATATATATAGAAAGTATATAAAGACAAGTTTAAATTAGTTTAAATAAGTAAACATTTGATTTATTTATTATTACAAGTAATTACTATAGTAACTTGTAAAGCATTTAGTTTTACGATAATTTTTCATTTAATTGCTTCTTATACTCCCTTCGCCTTTATATATCAGCTATTTGGAGTCAGCACCCTTTGTCCTAAACAACCACTTGACCCGATCTCCCACCTCACATACACTGGCTGTCCTTAAGTGTCTTCGAATCATTTTCAATCGTTTCCAAATATCTTTTTTCGGTTTTCCTTTTTCTCTCAATCCTATCACATTTATTTTTATTATCATTCATACTGCTTTTCAGATTCCACTCTCAGAGGAAGTGATACTTACACATTTCAACATTTGAACACATTAATAACCAGATCTAATAAAGTAGCTTAAATTTAAAATTAAAATCATAATTTTTAAGTGAACTATATTATAGTTTCGTATATCATTAGCCTTCCCGTTCTGCCCCATGTTCCCATATAATGTACAAAAAGTATATAATTAGGTATTTATAGATCATTGTCGAATATCGGTCAACTATCAATGCCAGCTTTCTGTACCACACACGCACACACACGCGCGCGTCATTTCCGCCTTTACTGCGGTGTCCACGCGATATGTCGTGTGATAAATTACCTAAAGGTATTATGTAATATTCAAATTGGATAAAAAAAAAAAATAAATAAAATATGAAGGAACTAATATCGAGAAAAAAAGCTAAAAACAGATTACATAAAAGTTGTGTAATGGTTTACAGAATTATTTGCACACTTACAGACGCAATATTGAAATTATATAGTAAATGGGACCTGAAACTTACAAGTTTGATTTTATATATCCTCCATAATTTTAACAAATGTAATAACAGATTGATATTATCAATGTTGTTGCCGAAATTTCTAATAATGTTTTTTTTTCTTGAAATTCGCGAATCGTTATATGGATATTATTGATTCGTTGTTATCGTCATTATTGTCATCGAATTATGACGATTAAGCTATCGAAATACCGACCACGAAGGCGCTAATAAGCCACAGTTTGATCTGTTATCACTGTTCGGCGTTATCAATGTGCGGTTTGAATTATCAAAAAACATTTGATACAAATTATTTTAATGCATCACTGTTATGAGTTAGAGAGCCATTATAATTTTACTGATTTATTTGCGACCCGGTCTAGGTATCATAAATTAAAGAGTCATCAAAAAAAGCAAAATAAAAATACGTGTACAATATCGATAAATGTATATTTGTATTAATAAAACAATAATGAAAATTACAATGGTATAACTGTATATAAGTATGCCGAACGGAAAACAATTATTAATACATATCTATATTCGATTAAATTGTGCCATCATGAAAATAATTGATAAAAAAAAAAAAAAAATACTTTAATACAATTATATAGGTTATACCTATTGGTACTCGAGTGTATATAATTTTTTTTAATGACTGATAATGGTTATTAAGAACAAAAGACACATTGCTGCAGTATAGGCACTTATATATTTCCTCATTAAAGTGCGCGAGGTAAACCACTTGAACTACATATGGGATCTATATAATATGTGAGCATTATCGATTACCTATAGTCGATCGGTTCTTTTTTCTAGAGTTTAAAATAAAAAAATTGTAAATAATATAAATAAAAACGCGGATATATAACGATATTATAAAAATACATATTTTTGTGTTATTGACGTTATTAATCAAGCCAATCAATGGTAATTACGCACTATAATCATAGATAATGAAAAAAATGGATAGGTCGATCGCATTCTAATAACGGACGCATCGACGTTCCGGAATGAAAAAGACTTATCCCTCTAGTCGAAGGTGTTTTGAGGTTATGTCGAAATATTTGACATCATTTTTTATTCAAAACTATTTGTAAGTTGTAAGACAATTTTTTTTAAAAATAATAAAACATTAGCTCAACATTAGGTATGCGACAATAGTACTTGGAATTTTCTTAACTACTTTAAAACCATATCTTAGTTGTTTGAACATAGCCTCAAAGCTGTCAACCCTCAGCTAGAGAGACACGAAAGACAATCTCTTTTGCACATTCCAAAAAACGATTGTCTATCCATTGTGTATTATCTATGTCTATAATTAGACATTTCGATTTCTACTTGTACAACTAGTACAACGAGTAATAATTGTTTATCGTCAAAGTTACTACACAGGAATTTTTATTCGGTGACGCGTCGCGACGGCGAGATGGTGTTTTGTAGGACGTAGGTTTTTGAAATTCGACGTACAAAATATCGTTATATTACGTAACTGTATTAAATAATAATCGATTTGGTTGATATTTTTTTTTTTTTGCAAACAGTCTACGAAGGTGTATTTTTTAAGCCCTCTCGGCAGCGAGTGCAGCATATTATGTTGGTATACTAAATGCTTAAGGGAATTGGAAGCGACGAGTTTCTGTATTTGTCTTACACACACGTGAGATATAGGGATTTAGACGTGTTTTATTTCCAACGTACCTATTGATCTAGTGAAACGATAAGAATTCTGCAAGCAGATTTGAATTTGACATGGAGTCTACTTGAGATCGACTTTCCCACGTTTTGATATCAATTCCTCAACAAATTTTAAACTATCCATTTTTCCAATTACTCTTTTATTATTATGGCTTTTTTAGTATTTAAAGAGATAAATTTAAAAAGTGGGAAAGTCAATCTCTAGTTGACTTCACGAAAAATTCAAATCTGTTTCAAGAATTCTTATCGCTTCACTAGATCAATCAGAATTAAAACACGTTTATATCCCTATATCTTACTTGTGTAAGACAAAAACAATGACGATAAATCATGGCGAACGTAAAACAATTCTGAGCAGAGTATTATCGATCGTAATTTTTCCTTTTTTGCCGACGTAACCCAGAATTCAACACAAATTACACAATACATTTCCCGATTTTCCCCGTCTATTAAGAAGAAGACAACAGGGAAAATGGTGAAATCGTCCTTCAAAAATGCTACAAGGAATTCTCGTTAAAAGCTTTATATTAGAACAATATTTCTGGTATAAAAGACAACAAAAAATCCCACACCATAGTAAAACATTCCCCGTTCTACTCAGAGTCCGAAATACATAATGTTGGCATACCTAATATAATATTGGATTTAAAACGAGTTCACATATGAAAAAAAAAAATAGAGAAAAATCAATATGATATTGTATTAGACTGTCTTGTTTATTTAATATATCATACTTACCTATACGTTTTGGCGTACGATAAAATAAAAATGACTGCACGATTAATATTTGTAAACATAAAAAAAAAAAAATATAATAATAATAATAATAAAAAATTCGAGTATCATACTTACTGCTCCGTAGTAGATATTACAATATTATAGAAGATTATCGCAATACATGCCTACCTATAATAATAATAATAATAATAATAATAATAATATAAGTGGGTATTTATATTATAATATACCTACTAAAGCTACAATACCGTCGCGCGATTAAATTAAACACATAATCGTTTATTTTGTTTGTTATTAAGAACAATTGACCTAAATTATTACACAATGATGAGGTGAACAAAAAAACTGTATAGTAGGTATCACGCGAGTTTTCTGTTTTAATAATTTAATTCGACCCGAACGGTGTAACACATTGTTATGCAATACGTGCGAATGCACTGCCAACATTTACACCAATAATAATAATAATAATAATAATGTTTAAACAGCGGTTTGCTGCATACCTGCGTATTATAAAACCCTTCGAATGCACATATAGAATAGCATTGAAAATACCGAACAACGCTGCAACGCGTATTTAAAAATCGAAACGTATTGTATTTTATTGAAAATAAAAAATTATGTAGGTTTTTAATGTAGGTAAAATAATATAGTAAAAAATAAACCGACTGAAAAACGTAGCCCGGAGTAACAAATACGATTTACCGTAATTTTCCCAAGTATAAAGTATTCTTCGGTTCGCGTTTGAGAATATATTCAATGGCGTTTTGTTTTTATAATCTTTACTTTTTTCCTACGGTAACTGTCGAAATAGAAACCGGCCGTAAATAAAAACAAAATCAGGTAATAAAATATTCCAGACGTCTACATTGTTTTTTTTTTTTCCGTATCAGTTTTATCGCTATAATATTTAACTAACGTTATTTATTATCGAAAAATATTATTTCAACAAATTTTACGAAAATCGATTGAACATATATAGAACACTAATCACCAGCTACAGAATCGAATTCCCTCCCCTCCTATTTTGTATTTTAAAAAAAAATCTTTATAAAACAATAAATAACCGAATACTATATTATCATGATAACAGTTAGTGTGCCCGTCCAGAGATTGGGGCATTGGCCACGAGCGCCACATACTTCAAAGAGGCTTCAAAATCTTTTATGATATGCTAAAATAGATTTTTTTTTTTTCTTAAACTTCAGTTTACACTCAGTCAGCTCTCAGCAGAACCTAAAATTATGTATTTTAGAGCCCAAAGTGTACGATAAGAAATGTAAAGTGTTTGCGCTCGAAATTGCATTATGCTGTAAAAAACTTTACACTTTGAAAAGGCGCTAAAAATATAAATATATCTTTATGCTGGTCATGCACAAGGGGTTTTAACGGTCATAGAAGTGTTCAAAATGGCTAATGTTAAACTCAAATGCCGCTAATCTTTTTCGCATATGCATTTGAATAAAACCAAAACTTTTATTTCGTTGTTCATTTGAAAAAAATAATTTTATTACATAATAATTTATTTACCTCAATCGCACTAATCTGATAAAAGTTTACTTCAACAACCAGTACACTGTAAATGTGCATTAATAATTTAGAAAACCTTTACAACATAAATTGTGATATTTAGATTGAAATTGGAGTTAAATCACAAACAACGTAATTTAAAGAATTAAAGCTGTGTGGAAAATACAAAAACTAATATAGAAGTAACATTTTTGTACGGCACTTTTTTTTTTTAGAAAAAATTACATGTAGCCATTGAAAATATTCTCCTTTTTAAATTTTGTTATTTGTGTTTAAACTAGGGATGAAAAACGTTATTGAACAAAAGAAAAAAAATCAATAACGAAATAGCGGAAATAAATTAAAATATAATATAAATAATTAAAGAGTTTGGTTACTCTATGGTAATAATAATTCTGTTATAGAAAAAGTGGTATACCTGTAAGCATCGATAAACCATTGCTTACGAAAAAACGATTCTAAGCGGAGTGTAAAAGACATATATAATTTCATTAATAGTATTTGTTTAATGTTGTATAGATTTTCCCAATTTGCCTACGTTTTTCCCGGTTTTTCACATTTGCTGGGAAAACTCCTGAGAAAATCTAAAAACAATCTCTCTAAAGTACTTCCCTAGTGAAATTTCCTTTTAGAAACTTTACTATCAATATAAGTTGGAGCAAAATTGTTGGTAAAAAAGTTGTGCACAGAAAAAAAGAAGACCGTAAAATATTTTAACTAATGCCTACATTTTGTATATCTTCCCGTTTTTTTCGGTTTTTCAAATTTGATGAAAAAACTTTTGAGAAAATCTAAAAATAGCAATCTGATAGTACTTCCCCACACCGATTTCCTTTCAGAAAAGGCGCTACACTTAAAAATCCGAACAAGTCTTCTGGTAAAAAATTTGCTAACAGATAAAAAAAAAATAAATATCTTTGTAAAACCATAAGCTTCTTTGCTCCACTCAGAATCTAAAATTAAAAACGTTTTTTACCCTTGGTTTAAACTCAATTTAAATGCCACAATTTACGATTTAGGTATAAGAGAAAAATCGTTACAGACAACCAAGTCAAGGAATTTTATGTTTAAGTTACAAATTACAATACTACACGGGATGGCTTAAGCGCAACTAAAAAGGTGCTAAAAGGTCTTAAACACGACCAAACATTTTGTTATAGTATCGACTTAATAATAAATCCATGTATTTTATAATTAATAAGTAGAAAAAGTACAGATTACCAACAGATAATGCATATGTATATCAAATTTAAGTTAAAAATATGATTACACATTTGTATATAAAAAATTGAAAATTAAATGTTTAGTCACTTATTAGTGTGAAATGTCGTGTAAAGAGTATTACTTCCATAGGTCTGTGATGCGTCTATAATTTTTAGTACCCCCAAAGATTGCGGTCTAGTTGCGCCAACGATAGGTGCAATATATAATACTATACAATGGCGGCCGAACCTCCAAAAAGTATATCCGTATTGACATTAAAGCTACGCGTATAGAAAACTACTTCATACCCCGGCTTTGTCGGTAGGGCGTCTGTACGAGGTTTTCAAACCCAGACGGGAACACAATTTAATATTTATAAAACGGACCCGACACTGCGTCAGATCGTTTCATTTTTCGAGGGAATTCGACAGTAAATACTATACCGTATATTTCGGGCAGAGACTGTTTCGAGAATTCTTACACGCATCTTTTTTATGTCGTTTCGTTATGACGTTATTTTTTATTTCGCAATAGCGTATATTATACATTGTTATCTTTAGTATTGTTCATCGTCAATTTATATTCGAATAAAAGAAAATACACGAGTATTCTCGAAAGTATACAAGAAAACCCTTAATCCGGCCCCGGGTATTGGTAACACGTGTGTTTCACGCGTGATAACTTGTCTATGGACGCCGGTACTTTTAAATATTTCATTTTTCGTTCCGCATTTAAAAGCTTACCGGCTCCCGACACCGCCTTAAAACCTCGTGCGCCTCGAGGAACCGAAACACTTCCTAGGAGGGAGGGTGGGAGCGGTACCGCCCGCGTTAAGAACCGCTGGTGTAGCGCGCGTTAAAACGTTCTCTCTGTTCGAAACGAGCGCTACGATTCGCGCGCGTTAAATAATATCGACTGCAACGACGAGGCGGCGGGGAAACGGCTAGAACGTAGCCGGTGAAAAAAAACGCCGATCGATAATCGTTGCGTTACGCGCGGATGACAAGACCACGGGAAATCGGCTCGAGACGCCGTTGGGTTTTCGCGATAAGATATTAAAACGCCACGACCGGCCGCATTGGACGTCAACCGGAGGATTTCGTTCGCGTAGGAAACGTCGATGTTCGCTTCCGGGCGCGCCGATCCCGGGACGCGTTACCCAAACCGCATAGTCTTGCACGGGCAGTGAAAGACTGTACAGCGAGACTATTATAATTCGTCCCTCTTTTTAATATTTAATTGGCATTATCGTGCCCGACTTAACTTCGGCGTATCGGCCGTCGCGTGGGCGCGCCGCCGCAGCAGTTAATCAATGTAATTATAATAATAATAATAATAATACTATCGAACTGTTTGTTCCATTAAAACCGGCTGGTCCGTACGTGCGCGAGCGACGTCACGACGGCGTGCATTCAAATGTCAATCGATTAGAAGGAAAAAAAAAAATAGAAAAAAACCTTCGGGTTTTTCGATAACGTCCGAATGGAAAAAAAAAAAACAACAACACGACGGCGACGACGGTGATTTTGGGCTTTGTTTTGTCCGAGAAAACGGTTGCCGCGGCCGCTGCAGTCCGGATAATTTAAATTATAAAATGATTGTTTTTGTAACGACATACGTATACAAGCAGTGCGTAGTATTATA